TTTTCTCCGCGGAATCTCTTCCTTCTGATTTTGCGTTTGGATCCGTCCGAGAAAGAGATGGCGGAGGAGAAGAAAGTTAACCCAATTGGTGTCTGGAACACTGTGAAGCCCTTCGTTAATGGTGGTGCCTCTGGTATGCTTGCTACTTGCGTTATCCAGCCGATTGACATGATCAAGGTAATATAATAATGTTTCTCAATTCACGTTTATGTATCGGAATTGTCTCTGTTTTAAGCTCTATGTAGAATTCTCAGCTTGATTTGTTATTGTGTTTATGATTCTGATATAGGCCAAATCTGTTATTGTGTTTCTTCAGATCCGAGTTTAGGGATTTGTTTTCTTTCAGATCTGTTTTTTTCCTTTTTAATTTTCGTTACTTGAAACATATTCAGACTCATGAGTGTGCACTGTTGCTATTGATATGTTGTTACTTTCAGAAATTGATTGTTTTAGGTGCTCAGATCTGGGAATTTGATTAGAATTACGTCTCTTAGCTGCATCATAATGTACAAGATTTCATTTGTGAATCTAATGAATGAACTAATACATGTTTTCTGGTGGTGAAGGTGAGGATTCAACTAGGTCAGGGATCTGCAGTTAGTGTGACCACGACCATGTTGAAGAATGAGGGTGTTGGTGCATTCTACCAGGTATAGATTGATGTTTTTGGAATTTTGATTAGATCTCTTTTTGATGCATTTACTTATCTTAAAAGATGCATGAAGAATGTGTTTTTGTTGATAAATTGGTGTCGATGTTTATGAGCAGTTACTTATATTTTCATGTAGTTGATACGTAATTTTGTATATGATGTGTGCAATTCTGGATTTGATATTCAACTATTCAGAGAACTGATTTTCATACCTATCGTGATGTCTCCGGGGCTTATTCAATAGGGATTATCTGCTGGTTTGCTGAGGCAAGCAACTTACACCACTGCTCGTCTTGGATCATTCAAGTAAGTTAAGCATTTGTGGGTTACATTGAGCCTGTTGAGTACTGTTTTATTGCCTTAACAGTTATAGACTTATAAATAAATCATCATCTCGCTTTTGTTGTATCTCTCATTTGTTGTACTCATAAAAATTTGCTATTATGAATTATCAGGTTGCTGACGGCAAAAGCACTTGAAGGTAACGAAGGGAGGCCACTACCGTTGTATAAGAAGGCTCTTTGTGGTCTGACAGCTGGAGCGATTGGGGCTTGCGTTGGAAGTCCAGCCGATTTAGCCCTCATTAGAATGCAAGCGGACAATACCTTGCCGCTAGCTCAGCGCAGGAACTATACAAATGCCTTCCATGCGCTTTACCGTATTAGTGCTGATGAAGGAGTTTTAGCACTTTGGAAAGGCTGTGGGCCCACTGTGGTAAGAGCAATGGCTTTGAACATGGGAATGCTTGCATCTTATGATCAAAGTGCCGAATATATGAGAGGTAGTCTTGGTCTTGGGGAAACATCTACAGTCGTTGGTAAGTGTCTCTTCCCAGTTTCTCATTTTTCTGTAAACAGAATTATATTGCTCCCCAATCCGCAAAATTATCTTGAAATTTACATTGATAGCATGAAATTTCTTGATTACACGAGTGTTGTGTTGTTATAAAACATATTGTCAACCAATCTAGATTCTCCTTGCTCCCTTTTAACTCTTAAGCTCTCAACTAACCGTAAGGTCAGTTGCTGAGCTGGAGAAACTAACCCTAGGCTAGTGACAATAGCTCGGCACTAGACTTAAACAAGAAGGCCTGATCTGTTTTGTCTTATGGTCCATCTAATCCCTATATGATGTTATACGGTTAAATATAGATCTCTGAGTTTGGTACTGTGATTTTTGTTCACTTTGGTAGGAGCAAGTGCTGTTTCTGGGTTCTTCGCTGCGGCTTGCAGTCTACCATTTGACTATGTCAAAACTCAGATTCAGAAAATGCAACCGGATGCTACGGGAAAATATCCGTACACAGGTTCGTTCGACTGTGTGGTTCAAACCTTAAAACAAGGAGGACCTCTGAAATTCTACACAGGTTTCCCTGTTTACTGTGTCAGGATCGCTCCTCACGTCATGGTATAATAACTCTTTTCTTTCTTTTCTTGATGCTATTCTACAAATCAATTCTGGTTTCCATGTTTACTGCGACTATGAGATCGTCACTAATTGGTTTTGTTTTTTGGGCAGATGACATGGATCTTCCTGAACCAGATTACAAAAATTCAAAAGAAAATCGGACTGTGATCTCCAAACAAACCTTGTGAACTTCGCAACTGAGAAGAACGAAGACTGGGCCAAAAATAAGATAAGGGAAGAAAACACAATCGGAATTGTGTTCATTTGCTTTTTAATCATATACATTGCATATTGGAGCTGTTTAAAACTCCTC